TTAGTGCTGGAGAGGGACAGATACACAGTATATTGTTGATGGTATGGATAGTCTAGGTTATACCTCTGTCAGTCTTTTGTAGTTTTATTAAGCTGTTTTTTTCACAACTTTCCCATTTTGATAAAATTTTGAAATAATTCCCCAAATCTGAATTCTATCAAGCCAACTAGAAAAGGATGGGAATCTCTCAGAGCTATGGGAAGAGGAATGTAATTTAAACTATTTATTAAATACTATTTGGTAATACCAGTGCTTGCAGTTGGATCTTTCTTATTGGGCTGTAAGTCACATGAAGTAATTTCATAAGGACCATTCATAATTTCCTGGTTTTGTTTTGAATTTGAATATTATGTTAATCACCTAGAGAAGTTTTGATATGCATGTGTTTCATATTCAGGTTGCACTTATATTTACAGGAAATTGGTTTTTACTTTCTTTTTAAAGAAAACTGAATTGAAGAAAATGATATTTAACTCAAGAAGACTGCTGGGCCTGGATGACCTCGGGATGAAATGGACTGTGGAGCCCACAAGAAAATGTTAGCTTGTGATGATTATATTTTTTTCTGTTGTCCAGTAGCTTGATTTGTGTACATGTATACATATATGTTTTTTGAAGTACACAAATGATAACATTGTAAGGACTAATATTGCTGATACTTGAATAATCAATCTCAACTAGGTTATAAGTAGCATACATAGATTGACCCTACCCTTTAACTTGAAGGACATTAAATTATTAATTATTGTTTGGTAACATGTTTACCCGATTATCCACCATAGCGAAATGTAAGCTGCTTTTCCAGGGAACAGTTGTGATCATGAGATCAGATTTGTGAGTGGGTATTTTTAATTTTCTAAATTAAATATGAGAACGAATGCAAATTCCAGGAGTGAATTTCAAATGAGATTAAGTGGACTTTATATCTTAGTTACTGAATTACCATGCCAAGGAGTAGAAAGCTGCTAGAGGGAACTGTCTCCACATCCCCTTTGTGGGCTGCCTACAATCTTTCTTGGCCATTCACAGCTCTGACTTGCGTGCTCAAGCATCATTACAAAATAGGGCCCTGTGTACTAGGCTTTCTTTTTACAAATGATTCATAGAAAAGACGTTAGCTATCGATGAAAATGATGAAGGATGGGTTGAAAGTGTATTCTGAGCCTGCAGCTCATTAAAGATTTTTATTCAGTCATTTACACTGATTCCTTTGTAATCGTTTTCTTTTAACTGAGGATATCTTGTTTCTGCTTCATAGGGTGCTTTGAAATATAAAATGAAAACTTACTTACACTGTTTTTACAAAGGTCAAAATGGAAACACGTGAAAGTCACTTTTCTGCAACTGGCAAACTGCACAGCCTGGACTCTTAACCTCCTAGTGCCTCTGTTTCTCCTTCTGGTATGATATTTGAGATGATCTATTTCACAGCATATGGGAGTCTTGCAAGCTAGCAGGCCATATGCATCCATGTGAGTAAGGCGTGCCCAAGTAATGGTGATCAAGTGTCTCTCCCCCACCCTCCACGTTTAGATGAAGAAGATGGTGACTTCACTCCTTGAAGGCTTTGTTTGGAGTTATTCTTCCTGTATACCTTCCAAAAGTCCCTTGTACTTTAAATATTTCTCTGATTCAATGGCTTAGTAGCAAATAATTTTTAAGCGTACTTGGTATGTATGATGTTGGGTTTAGCATTATGTGTTCATGCTAAATTTTCACTAAGAGAAAGTAATCCATCCCCAGCACAGTACTTTGTTTGCCTGATGAAAAAAAGTTTAAGAATACAACTGGCTTCTCCCAAGGCTCCTTTTTCCTTATTTCTTTTCTGTCGTGTAACTTGATTAAAACATTTTTTTAATCCTTTCTTGATTAAAATGTGTCTGAAGAGAACTACTAATCCTTGCCTTTTCAAAACTTTCTTCTATTTAGGGAAAAAAAATGAAGCAAGTGAGTGAATTATATGTAAAAATAAGGTTCAGACCTGGTGGATCAGAGGTTTTTAAAAATCAGGTATCTGGTATCAGAAAATTGTGTTTTTTCTCTTAGTATATAAATAAAATGCAAATGAAGAATGTAGGCAGTTGTGATTGATTACAAGCAGTTGGGGGTAACTAACTCTTAGGGATAACTATTTATATCCTATTCCAAAGTGTTATTTACACTCTGAAAAGCACTTTGCACACAGTTCTTTTATATACAAGTAAAAATGTAATTATAGGCTATAGCGTTACTACTTTGTTTTACCAGGAAGCGCATTTACAGTTTTAAATTGACAGCTATGGTATTTTTTAAAATGATCTACTTCTTTTCTGTTTCTTTACTGTAAAACTAAATTAACAATAAAAGGTTAATGAGAAATGATATGGTTTTTATTACTTGTTCCTGTTAGAAGTGCACTGATAATATGCTAAGGATTAAATGAGAATAAAGAGTAGGAGTTCATATAAAGTAAGTGTGCCGGTTTTCAAAATAAAGCCATGCTTTTCCATAGAATTTTGTAAAATCAGAAACTGAAATGAAGTTTAACTCATTTAGCCATTTGGTTGAGAATGTTATTAATCCACTCAAGATGTTGGTTTCAGTTCTTTTGCCAGATAGCTAGCTTCCCAAAGAGACAGAGCGCATCTCTGATCAGCCATCATAAATGCACACAGTTGGGTTTAGGTGGCAACTGGTGGTGAGAAGGTTTTGTGTCTTTAATGCAAATGTTTTACTTGTAACTTCTATAGATAATGATAAAAGCAATGTTAGCTATTTCTATCATTTAAGATATCGGTGTTCTGCTGGATGTAATTGAAACTTAACCTCAGTGGCTTGACCACGGTAAGGTTTGTTTTTTTTCTCATATACTAGAAGTCTGGAGGTAAAAAGTCTAGGGCTGATAAGGTGCTTCCAGAATGGCATTAGGGACACAGTCACAAAAATATAAAAGAAATGAGCTACAAAGCCAAGAAACTACATGAAGGAACCTTCCTTCTGTTCTATGATCTTCAATGTGTGGGTTTGTCTTCATGCATGTCAGATGGCTGGTGTACATCTAGGTCTGGTGTCTACACCCCAGGCAGGCCGAGAACCTTATCTGATCAGAAAGCGGTACCTTTCTTGGAGTGCACACAGGACCCTCCCTCCCATCTTAGAGCTGGGTCTCGTAGTTATGGCTTTGTGTATAAACATATTAAAGAATAAAGTTATCCAGCTTACATAGATAACATTGTATAAATTTAATGTTGCCCATGCATGGTAGGGAAAGCCATATCTTTTGGCCATTAATGCCCCCTTCGTAAGTTCTTTCTTGGTTTGTTTTTCTTTTCTGTTTCTCAACCCTTGTTTCCCACTGACTTTGTGGCTCTTGGTGAATCCTTCTTCCCAAAGATACCCCATTTTATAAACTGGAAAGTGACAAATGTCCTTTTCCTTTTTAGAAACAACTTTTAAATACATACATACTGCAGATGAGGATGCAGCCACTGTTATTTTCTTACTCTGCCTAGCATCCTTTCCTCCAGATACCACCACCCTCCCCTCTGTCCCCCCACAGCCCCCCTTTGGAGGTCTCACCTTCCTCCACTAATCAGGGGGGTCCAGTCATGCTGCCAAAGGAAGATGAGCTATGCCCATTCCTGCCCTGTCCAAATGCATGGTAGTGGGCATGTGCCAGTTCCAGGGATGGGTGTAGGACCCTAAGCAAGGCAGTCAGAGTTATCTTCTGGATTTATTCCATGAAGCTAGGCGAGAGAGCATTTTGCCTTTTCCAGAATGTTACATATTTAGGATCCTACAGTAAGTAGCGTTTGAGGATCGGCTTCTTTCACTTGACAAGCAACTGAGGTTCTCCATGTAATTTCATAGAGATGAAAGCTATGAAGCTCACTTCTTTTTATTAAGGTATTATTGATACACACTCTTATGAAGGTTTCACATGAAAGAATGTGGTTATTACATTCACCCATATTATCGTGTTCCCCCTATACCCCGTTGCAGTAACCGCCCATCAGTGTAGTAAGATATCACAGTCACTATTTGCCTTCTCTCTGCTACGCTGTTTTCTCCATGATCACACACCATGTGTACTAATCATAATACTCCTCAGTTCCCTTCTCCCTCCCGTCCCCTCCCCTTTGGTAACCGCTAGTCCCTTCTTGGAGTCTGTGAGTCTGTTGCTGTTTTGTTCCTTCAGTTTTGAAGCTCACTTCTTTTTTTATTTTTTATGGCTGTGTTTCAAAAAGCATCACTTAAAAAACAAGTAGGGAGCCAGATTTGGCCCAAGGGGTATAGTTTGCTGACTCCTGGTTTAGGCTTATCTCTTTTTTACACTGGATATTTTATTGCATGGATGTACCACAGTTTATCCATTTATCTATTGAAGGATATCTTGGTTGCTTCCAAATTATAGCAGTTAAGCTGCTATAAACACTTGGGTGCAGGTTTCTGTGTGATCGAGTTTTCAACTCATTTGGGTAAACACCAAAGAGCGTAATTGCTGGAATGTGTTTTATGAGCAACTTGCCAAGGTCTTCCAGAGTGGCTGTGTTGCTCTGCATTCCCACCAGTAATGAGAGTTCTTGTCCAGTCTTGTCAGCATTTGGTTTGTCAGTATTTTGGAGTTCAGCCATGTGGATGGGTATGCAGCGGTATCTCATTATTGCATTTTCTTTCTCTCTGAATTATAGCCTGTAAGGTTACCAAGTTAGAGATTCTGGGGACACACATCCTGCCACTTGGAGGAATCTTAGATAATAAGGACAACATCGAGACCTAGGAATTTAGCCGAGTCAGAAACACTGGTTTCAGGTCCCTTAATCCAGTTAACTCTGAAAACCCTACCCATCTCTTTATACAGTTTGTTCACATGGGTTAACAAATTTCCCTTCTTAGTTAAGGTAGTGTAAGTTAGGTTTCTGACACTTGCAGCCAGAGTCCTGACTTGTATAGAGAGCTCTTGATTCTCGGGACTGAGTGCAGGCTCTGGAGGGGCAAATCGAAGGTCTGCAGCACAGTACCCTGCCTTCACCTGTGGCTGGAATCCCTTCTGCCTACCCTATACAGAGAAAAAATAGTCCAGTATTTGGCAGGAGTCGGAGAGGGGCAGTCAGAGGGTGTGTGCAGTTGGGGAGGGGCCTGGGAATCTGCTTTGTGACTGGAATTCAAGTATTTTAGTCCCTTTCACTCTCTGAGATGTTCTGGCATCCACGCCTGAGACTGAGCCTTGGGACGCCGTTCACTGTGAATCGGATCGACTTTTGGCACTCTCCAAGACTCACTCATGATTTCCTTTCCTAGGTTTTTCACTACTCCCCCATCATTCACCACCTCCCACAACTCTGCTGTGTGTCCTCTTCATTCTCACTGTGTGTGGATTGTTCCAGTTACTCTGGCTGGATAACAAGTTACCCCAAAACTTGGTGGCATGAACTAGCCATTTATTGTGCTCATGGATTGTGCGGGTCCAGAGTTTGGACAGGGCACAGCAGGGCTCCACGGTATGTGTCGATGCAGGATGGGGTCTGGAGCCATCTGAATGCACGCCCAACTCATGCCCGGCAGTATCTTCGTGGAGGCCAACTGGAGGCTGACATAGCTGGGGTTCCAAGGGCATCTCTGTGTATGTGTCTTCTCCGTAGTCTTTCCAGTATGGTGGCTTCAGACTAGCAGGGCTTCTGACATGTCAGCTCAGGCTCCCGAGGTGCACGTCCCAGGAGAGAGCCAGGCAGAAGCTGTGTTCCCCTTTCTAACCTGTGCAGTCACTTCTACCATTTTCTCCATTAGAAGCAAGTCAGTAAGGCTGGTCCACATGCAAGAGAATGGGAATTAGATTCCACTTGTTGTGGAAATAATGTCACAAAATTTGCAGACACATTGTAAAGCTACCATGTTGGTTTGTCTTAAAAAATGCCACCCTTTTTAGAGGGGTTTCTTAGTCTAAAGAAAGCTGTATGTATTCAAATTCACCATCGCTATCTAAAAGTCTAACTGGGTTCTCGAATTCTTTATTTGGATGTCTCACAGACATATTAAACTTAATGTGCCCATCAATCCTGCCCCTCATTTTCAGGGTATAGCACCACTATTGACCCAGTTGCTCAAGTCAGAAACTAGGTGTTAGACTTGGTTCCTCCAGTCCTGTCATCCTCCTCCTACCATCCATCAGGAAGTACCATTGATTCTACCCCTAAAATATATCGAGAATCCAGGTGGGCTGGTTCAATAGCTTTCTACAGTTTCCCTCTTTCAAATACTGCCCTGGCCAGTACATTTTCCACACAGTTACAAGAATGACCCATACATGGCTGGTTTGGTATGAACTGAAAGGAGACCTGGTGGAGACAGTAAATGTTTGCACAACCTTTTGGACTCAGCATGTTTGTAATTGGTTAACAATCAGGTCTTTCTGGCAAACTGAGTGACCAGACCAGAATGTCCTTCAGGATGCTTTTGGAGAATAATGGCAAGGTTTTATGTAGTGACCCATTTCGCAAACCCCAAATTAAGATAAATATGCTAAGAAGTAGCAGAGTACTTAGGGTTCAAATAATGATCACTTATGAAACCCCTTTTATGTGAGCTATGTACTTCATCCTGTTTAATTCTGACAGGTACACCAGTATAAATAGCTGCCTCTTCAAACATATTTTCTGTAGTTATTTAACATTTAGTGGAGGTGGGAGAAAATTATTTTCTGTTAATAAAAATTGTGTAACACAACAGATGCATAGATTCCTACTGGCAGAAGCAGTGAGTGCTCTTTAAAGGCTTATGCTTATTCACACGCAGACACAGGTCTAAGGATCAGTCCCATTTTCCGCTGTTATTATTCTGTCGCAGGTTTTCCTTAGCAAGTGTCTGAACCCACAGCTTGGCTGGTGTATTAAGAGTTTAAGTTTAGTTAATAAGTCACTTGCTCCCTGTAAACACCCTTACAGCACACAGCATTCCAGGTGACTACTGAGGCAGACCTAGATCTGTTTAACTGCAAACTTTTTCATTTTTCCACTTAAGGTTCTTGTACTGGGAATAGGCTTGCTCACTGTCCGTTTCACCCAATTATTTAGTAATGTTGCAAGTGCCTGATAAGGTTGGTGTCCTGGACAGTCCCATTAAGGTATCTGCCAAAGCGAGAATAGTATTTAATAGATTTGCAGGAAATTTACATATGAACGTTGTTCCTTTGGAGGGTAAAAATGCTGAAAGCCTCAGTGAATTCCAGATGGGAGCCATGGAGCCGAATCTTACTGTGTATATATAAAAGAATGATGTTGACAGACCATATACTTGATGTATGGTACAATTTATTCATTTAAGCAAATTATTTTTTTTGCTAAGGATCAGGCTGTCTCTAGTAATGCTGCATGTTCTAGATGAATTATTTTAAAGATGTAAGCCATTACATTTTTCATTAAAATTGAACAAGCTGTTCAAATTGCTACAGCACATCATACAGAAGCTTCCCTGTACTATGTTAAACAAGCAGCTATTGCAGAGAAAGCACAGAGCAGTCAAGGCCACAAAACTATATTTGTAGTAAAGGAACCTAAACCTTAGTTCTCTGTTTATTCCTCATTCCCCAAAAGAGTTACACTTCCGAGTAATGGCATTTTCCAGTCACAGTTTTGAGCTGGAAATCACAACTGCAGCCTTCAATGACCGCCCTCATGGCTATCGTACACATTATATTAAAATAAAACCATATGATTTTGTTCTTTTAACACTAAACTGAAGGGTTGACTGAAATCAACAGAAGTGAAAGAAAATCAAGCTCAAGGTCACGCTTTCTCTAACAGGTGGTATCATTTTACTTTTATTGATATATTAATTTCCATAAAGTGCAGTACCAAAATAAGATGAAAATAGCTTTGGAAGCCTATATACAGTTCTGAGAGCAAGATAACTTACTGGTTATATTCTTGATAGCCTTTTAACTCTGTGGAAGTTGTTACATTAAAATTTCACTGATCCAGACAAATTAATGATATTCTTCTCTTAGATTAATCTAGTATTACGGAGTATGTAAGCTTGCTAGCTTATTCAATAAGACAGGTTAGATTACAGGGAAAAATGTATGTGTTATAGACTGAATCCAGATACGGTCAGGTGCTGAGCATTATTCCTGGCTTCGAAATAGGATGTATCTGTTTCATCATCTGGCTGGGGTATGAAAGGCATAGTTTGATGCTGCAGATTTTCCCAGTCTACATCACTGAAGAGAGGATGATGTATTAGGTCTTCGGAAAAATACAAAACAAAGCCACATTATGACAATATCACCTAAGTAATTAATGTTCTACAGGAATTAGCAAGAGAGCAACTCATGTATCTCGCCCTACTGTATTAATATGCCAGCATCACAGACATTTATTTAATGTCTCTGTATTCAACCACATATTTCACAACAGCACACACACTTGTCAGTCATTCTGTGTATCACTTGGCACATGACAGGTGCCTGGTCTGTATTTGTCAAACGAATGAACGATCTGCCTTAAGAGAAGTGTAGCTTTCTCAATGCCTCTATTTTCTCACACAGTCCCTGACTTGAGGTAGAAGAGAGCTTGGCTCACTTCCTGCTCCCCCATAGAGCCTCCACACCACTGATCTTCCAGGATAAATGTCCCATTTCTCATTCCAAGGCCTTGACACACCTTTGCATCTCTGCAATCCTTAGTGCTATCTATTGCCCTAGAGAACGTTAGTAGGAAATTCTTCCCCTACCCCCGCCACCTTCCCTTTGCTCCATCCTTCTTCACGGTGAGCTCAGCACATGCACTGAGGACTCCTCTGACACAGGCTCTTCATGGGTCTCTGGCTTCTGCGTCTTCATGCACTTGTGGTTCTGTGACACACTGACTATTCAGCAGTCTGGCTACACTTAAAAGACCTCACCTCTGCTCACCTGTTTAACTACATGTTCAGTACCTGGCATCTTTCCTATTTCCTTCCACCTTAAATGAAAATATACTCTTTTGATCATATGTGATATTTAGTTGCTAGACATAAGCTCTTTTCTCCTCAACCCTTCAATTCACAAGACAATGATAAAGACATTGGCAACATATTAAGTGATGATTAAAGCATTAATTTGTTTCAAAAAAAAAACCTCACAAAAAACACAATCAAATTTACAGATTATATTGAGAGAAGACTACACAGGCAGGGAAGAATTATGTACTGGGGGCGACAGGTTGGCAACCAATGTTCACAACTTGATTCTTCCCTCAATTAAAAGACTGGTTGTGATAAATGATCAAATAGCAAAAATAATTTACATCCAGAGAATCTGTCTCCTAATTGTTCAAAATAAGTAACTGAGCATGGATTACTTTAGAGTTACTCATATCAGTGACCAGTGACTCTAAAAACTGTGATATCTCGATGTGATGTGATGTTCTATGACCCTCATCATAATCGTTTACTTCACTGAACTCACAAAGGAATTTTAATTCTAGTTTAAGATGAACTAAATAGTTGCTGGACCAACTATTTATTAACTGAAGAATACCCCTAGCATCTGGTTCACTCTGTAAACTGTTCATTAAACAAACAAATCCCAGGTCATTGGTAAGAATGCATTTCTTTTGTCTCTACTTACTTTGAGCAAATGATAGTACATTAGAGCCATTCTCTAAGCAACAGATTCTCAGCGTGGGCACAACCGACATTTGGGCCTGGACGATCGTTTACTTTAGGCCCATCCTGTGCATAGCAGAATGCTGAGCAGAATCCCTGGCCGCTACCTACTAGGCGCCACCAACAGCTGTGACAACCAAAAATGTCTGTAGACAATGCCAACTGTCCTTTGGGGAGCAAAACCATGCCACTTGAGGACCACTCTTCTAATGTAATTTTTAGAGCTGAGTTTTCAAATGTCTGCACTCTGACTTAATACAGGCTTTTTTCCTCAAATTCTACTCTGCCCAGATTCCTGACCATTCCCTGTCAAAACTCTCATGCCACCGCTTCACATCCTCTGACCCGTTTTCTTTTTTCATAGTACTCACCAGTAGGTGGCAGTAGGTCATGGTAGTATTTGTTAACTAAAGTCTTCCTACTAGAAAGACAGTTCTGGGAGCACAGGGATTTGAGTCGGCTCATCTCTAGGATACGCCCACAGCAACACTGCCTGACACCTAGCAGTCATTCTGTGGGATCTGTTAAGTAAATTACTAAACTGGATCTTACTAGAGGGAACACCTTGAAGCTGATACAAGTGACACATAAAGAAAGCTCATTTTTCTGTATGTACAAAATCATTTCTACTTCACATGGAATATATTTACGACAATGCTTATTTGTCTCTCTATATGTCTTGTTAGAAAAAGGATTTTAAGGCAGCTGCTAATGAGATTCACTCGTTTCAAAACTGGAGTTTTATGTACCCCCTGCATTGGAAAAAATCACTGAATGGGTCACAATGTACCAAATTTGTCTTATTTGAGGCAACCTGGCACTTGATGTATGTGTCAACCAATAATGGCATCAGAAATGAAGCAGTAAAAAATTAGAAAAAAGAGTTGTGATAAAAACATTTGCTGTATTTGTCAATGGTTAATTTTATCTGGCTTTGAAAAACCTAAGACACTGACAAGATAAGATTGTTTCAGGTCCCTGCTTGAGATTAATAAAATTCAATGAGTGAATATCACAACCTGACCGCAGTAAATCCCATTTTAATGCAGAATAAGGGCAAGTATATCAGTGTATACCTAGAGGGAAAAAATAAACTGAAAAATTTTTTAGCCAATTTTGCAGTCAGACATCTGTAGTACTGTACTAGTACATGATACCATTATTAATATTTACCCCTTGAAACAAATCAAGGGTAAATAAAGGGTTCATTTCAATACAAAACATTACCTTTCATTCCAGCTCTCATTGTATCATCAACGGTTAAAAGTATTTCTACTGCACTCTGAGCATTTTCAGATAACTTTTCTTCACCTGCAGGCCAAGGGATATCTACAAATACAAATAAGCTTGTTAACCAGTGCTCAGGACAATAATACACAGAGGTAAAAGAACCTATCTTAACAGAAAAGGAATCACCTCTTTTGAGAATATTCTGGAACACTTGTTGTGGTGTTTCATCATTGAAAGGGGGAATTCCTGTTAGAAACTCAAACAAGCAAACTCCAAGTGCCCACCAGTCCACTGCAGGACCTGGAATTTAAGAGGAAGAAGTAGCTGAGCTTGCAAGCATTTTCTACAAACGTTTGATCAAGGCATTCATTCCCTCAGACTTTCTTCTAGCTTCATAAAGTTCAAAAAGCCAAATGACCTTCCTTTAAGTAATGTGGCAACTACTTCCCTTCTCTGTTTTCCAACACATTTAGCATTTACACAGCTGGTTAAAGAAAAGTTAGAGCTATCTTTTATCACTTATTATAATAACCTGTGATATTATGCTTACTTATTCTAAATCCTAAAAGATAATCAAGGAATGTACTTGATCTACAGACTCTTCTCTAAAATACAATACTTCTCAATTTCAAGTCAGGAAACAGTAACGTTTAGATGACTCTGTACACTGCTTGTTCACAAAGGTATGAGATGAGGTAGGAACATCTATCCTAATTGGAGGATACGTGGTAACTTAGGGAAAGCCTTACACTGTTTTAGTGTAGCTTTGCTCCTTTTAGGAATATGGACTTCATTTAACAAAAAATATTCACTTAAACTATGGTTTGAGGAGGTAACTAGGAGATAGGTCTTAATAGTAAAATGGATTTCTAAATAAAATCTTTATTGGAAGTATCCTTTATATACAAAGATGTTTAAACAATTATTTTAAATATGACCTTATAATCTGGTTTATGCTTTCATTTAGTTCTATGAGTGAAGTGTTTCCTAAGCAAAGGTTAATTTCAGTCTAAAAATGATTAGCTTCAATATAAATTAGAATAGGAATTCCAGTCTAGTACTACAATTTCCTGAAAATTAGTCTTTAAAATGAATTTCACAAAATTCATGACTGTGGTTAACCAGCTGCCACCATTCCATTTTTAAAATAGGTAGTTTTAAAGTTTGGAATCTGCATTGTGAAATATGCCATTAGGAAAAAGAATTCATGCATTTAGAGTACCTTTTCCCATCCTCCCTAAGAAACACAAGATGCAATAGTCTATAGGCTTCTATTACTAGAGTAATCAGTATAAGAACATATGAACCACTTCAGTTAGTAGACCTTTAAAGCAGCACTGAGAAAGAGTTATCCCACTGGATTAGATAATATAACCGCATAACAAAAAAGTAGGAAGAAATCAGGACAAAAACATTTGTATTTATTTTACTTATGTTAGAAATTAGGACCCTTTTCCAAGCTCAGCCAAAGTGTATGTATGTCAATAACATACACGATTTCTCCAAGGATCTGTCAGACACACTCATACACTTGAGTCAAAGTCTAATAAGATCACATATTGTGGTAAATCATAACAAATAAATATCATTAGCCAGAGAAATAGAACAAACTTGTCTTATACTACTGGTTTTCTAGTTCAAAACCCACTTCTGTAATTTGTATATTGATATTGTTTTACCTGCTATTTTCTAATAATAATGGAACAAAATGGTTCGGAAAAATCAAGCCCTTTTGTAGCTGCTGATTTTAACATTTTTATCAAGCCTATTTCCTAGGCTGCAATAAAAACTGCTGTATCTTCATTCTCTGCTACCTTTAAATGCTATAAAGAATTGCTACATTGCCTGTATTTGTTTTCACAGAGAAGAACAACTTCTCTGGATGTCTTTCTGCTCAGAAGACATAAGATACTCATTTTTGTATTTCATGAGTGAGTTGAAAGGGAAAAAGCTTTTTATGCAATGTGATCTGGTTACACTTTGCTCAGTTTAATGTGCTTTGCAATATTATTTTAGGGAGATGCTCACTCACCGGAAGCCAGAAATCCTGCATTGAAGAAAACAGCAGTTAGGTACACCGTACTAACATGATGAGTTCACTGTCACACCACCCATTGAACTGGACACTAGGTGTTATGCCAGATGTAAGGGATTACAAAGATGAGGACACAAAGAGCTTTCCCCAAGGAACAAACGGCCTACTCTGAGACAGTACAGATAACTTCAGTACAGTGTTAAGAGAGACGAGACAGACATGTACATACACAAGAAGCTATGGGAAACTCAGGCCAGAGTTCCTCAGTCCGCTTGGCTGAGGCAGAGCACCAGCAAAGGCGTCAGAAGTCTCCGCACGATCTTTACAAGTAGGTCAACCGAAGAAAGAGAAGAGCTGAAGAGACTGTCCCTGGGGCCTGGCGTTTGGGGTAAGACGTAGCAAGGAGGGAACTGTTTTTGTTTTTGCTTTCTAAACTTTTACTCTAAGTTTCTTTGCATTCTTTCTGTTTTAGAAGCTATGTATCAAATTACTTTTACAGAATATAAAAATTAAAAAATACACCACTGGATAGCTGAGGTAACTAGATGTCCCCCTAGAACAGTAACAAGGTGCTGTAAAGTAAATCTTTAAATCTGAATCTTAATTTCACACTGTATCTATGTTAGAGAAATGGAAATTATAATACAAAGGAAATGAGTTGGCAAGTCTGGGACTTGGCAAAAGGGACACTGGACAAAAATCAGTTACGTGCCCAGAGGACCCTACTTGTTTTGGCTAATACAGAAAGGTGAGTATTAAAGGTGTCAACTTTCAACACTGCAGATTATTCACAAGGCTTAGTGAGTGCTGCCAAGGAGTTCTCCTGCGTGCTAAGCAGAAGGAAAACTCAGTATAGTCTTAAGAAATTTTCTTAAGCTTTTGTAGAGGGAACAAATATAACAACTAATTATAGGTAGAATGATGTAAATTTTTTGAGTCTTAATAAAGTATGGAAGTGAATAACTAATTCTCCATAATTGATCAAGGCATGCTTTATGGAACAGGTGGCATTTGAACTGATGAGGAGATGAGGAGAAATCTGACAGGAAGACGACTGGGGACTGGCTTTTCTAAACAAAGTATATGTGTGCACAGTAAAGAAAATCTGAAACTAGATGTGTCTAAAAAGTGGAATGGGAAGTCTGTAAAGAGCTTCTTTGAGAGACGAGGCTGGTGTAAGAGCTAAGCCGCAGATGCCAACGCCAGTAATCTGGACTTCATTTCGCGGGTAGGAAGGAGCCTCCGTGGTGTTTCAAGGAGGGAAGCAGCATGAACCATGTTACATATTAAGAGGACAAATTGGTGGCAGTGCTTACAGACAGTAAAATGACATTGAGGGGCCAGAAAGCAAGCTGTTAAATTAATGAAAAGGAAAGGTGAGTTTCCTATGGAGCATGTGGCAGAGGTAACACGGTGAGGACAGACACTGAAGAGCTGTAACTGACGTGACTTAAATGCCCAAATGAAGGGACAATGTCTGTGTCACTACAAAGATGGTGAAATTGTGAGAGGCGCAAGCTAGACACAACCAGTGCAGTCCCGACGCTCAGTATCCCAGTGCCCAGAACACTGCTGCCTGGAGGAAGTCAGCAAGTCAGCATTAGAGGTAGATATCTGGGCACCATCCAGAGATGTGACAAGTGGCGCCACGGGAGTGATGAGATTAACAGGGAGCAGGTGTAGGGAAAAAAGGCAGAGGGCAGGATCTTGAACGTGGGTGTTTCGCAGAGAGCAGAGGGCAGGATCTTGAACGTGGGTGTTTCGCAGAGAGCAGGGAGGAGCTGGAGCTGAGGAGAGCTGCAGGGCTAAGAGGAATGAGGCTGGGAAGCAGTTGGCCGACATGACCCTGAGGACACCACCGGTGACTGTTACTGATACAATCGTTTTCACGAAATGGTAACAACAGGACTGCCAGAGCCAAAATCATCAGGCAAAGAGAATAGATAACCTTGGAGAGGTTAGGTGGTGAAGGGAGGACAAGAATTTAGAGTACCTTTTCCCATCCTCCCTAAGAAACACAAGATGCAATAGTCTATAGGCTTCTATTACTAGAGTAATCAGTATAAGAACATATGAACCACTTCAGTTAGTAGACCTTTAAAGCAGCACTGAGAAAGAGTTATCCCACTGGATTAGATAATATAACCACATAACAAAAAAGTAGGAAGAAATCAGGACAAAAACATTTGTATTTATTTTACTTATGTTAGAAATTAGGACCCTTTTCCAAGCTCAGCCAAAGTGTATGTATGTCAATAACATACACGATTTCTCCAAGGATCTGTCAGACACACTCATACACTTGAGTCAAAGTCTAATAAGATCACATATTGTGGTAAATCATAACAAATAAATATCATTAGCCAGAGAAATAGAACAAACTTGTCTTATACTACTGGTTTTCTAGTTCAAAACCCACTTCTGTAATTTGTATATTGATATTGTTTTACCTGCTATTTTCTAATAATAATGGAACAAAATGGTTCGGAAAAATCAAGCCCTTTTGTAGCTGCTGATTTTAACATTTTTATCAAGCCTATTTCCTAGGCTGCAATAAAAACTGCTGTATCTTCATTCTCTGCTACCTTTAAATGCTATAAAGAATTGCTACATTGCCTGTATTTGTTTTCACAGAGAAGAACAACTTCTCTGGATGTCTTTCTGCTCAGAAGACATAAGATACTCATTTTTGTATTTCATGAGTGAGTTGAAAGGGAAAAAGCTTTTTATGCAATGTGATCTGGTTACACTTTGCTCAGTTTAATGTGCTTTGCAATATTATTTTAGGGAGATGCTCACTCACCGGAAGCCAGAAATCCTGCATTGAAGAAAACAGCAGTTAGGTACACCGTACTAACATGATGAGTTCACTGTCACACCACCCATTGAACTGGACACTAGGTGTTATGCCAGATGTAAGGGATTACAAAGATGAGGACACAAAGAGCTTTCCCCAAGGAACAAAAGGCCTACTCTGAGACAGTACAGATAACTTCAGTACAGTGTTAAGAGAGACGAGACAGACATGTACATACACAAGAAGCTATGGGAAACTCAGGCCAGAGTTCCTCAGTCCGCTTGGCTGAGGCAGAGCACCAGCAAAGGCGTCAGAAGTCTCCGCACGATCTTTACAAGTAGGTCAACCGAAGAAAGAGAAGAGCTGAAGAGACTGTCCCTGGGGCCTGGCGTTTGGGGTAAGACGTAGCAAGGAGGGAACTGTTTTTGTTTTTGCTTTCTAAACTTTTACTCTAAGTTTCTTTGCATTCTTTCTGTTTTAGAAGCTATGTATCAAATTACTTTTACAGAATATAAAAATTAAAAAATACACCACTGGATAGCTGAGGTAACTAGATGTCCCCCTAGAACAGTAACAAGGTGCTGTAAAGTAAATCTTTAAATCTGAATCTTACTTTCACACTGTATCTATGTTAGAGAAATGGAAATTATAATACAAAGGAAATGAGTTGGCAAGTCTGGGACTTGGCAAAAGGGACACTGGACAAAAATCAGTTACGTGCCCAGAGGACCCTACTTGTTTTGGCTAATACAGAAAGGTGAGTATTAAAGGTGTCAACTTTCAACACTGCAGATTATTCACAAGGCTTAGTGAGTGCTGCCAAGGAGTTCTCCTGCGTGCTAAGCAGAAGGAAAACTCAGTATAGTCTTAAGAAATTTTCTTAAGCTTTTGTAGAGGGAACAAATATAACAACTAATTATAGGTAGAATGATGTAAATTTTTTGAGTCTTAATAAAGTATGGAAGTGAATAACTAATTCTCCATAATTGATCAAGGCATGCTTTATGGAACAGGTGGCATTTGAACTGATGAGGAGATGAGGAGAAATCTGACAGGAAGACGACTGGGGACTGGCTTTTCTAAACAAAGTATATGTGTGCACAGTAAAGAAAATCTGAAACTAGATGTGTCTAAAAAGTGGAATGGGAAGTCTGTAAAGAGCTTCTTTGAGAGACGAGGCTGGTGTAAGAGCTAAGCCGCAGATGCCAACGCCAGTAATCTGGACTTCATTTCGCGGGTAGGAAGGAGCCTCCGTGGTGTTTCAAGGAGGGAAGCAGCATGAACCATGTTACATATTAAGAGGACAAATTGGTGGCAGTGCTTACAGACAGTAAAATGACATTGAGGGGCCAGAAAGCAAGCTGTTAAATTAATGAAAAGGAAAGGTGAGTTTCCTATGGAGCATGTGGCAGAGGTAACACGGTGAGGACAGACACTGAAGAGCTGTAACTGACGTGACTTAAATGCCCAAATGAAGGGACAATGTCTGTGTCACTACAAAGATGGTAAAATTGTGAGAGGCGCAAGCTAGACACAACCAGTGCAGTCCCGACGCTCAGTATCCCAGTGCCCAGAACACTGCTGCCTGGAGGAAGTCAGCAAGTCAGCATTAGAGGTAGATATCTGGGCACCATCCAGAGATGTGACAAGTGGCGCCACGGGAGTGATGAGATTAACAGGGAGCAGGTGTAGGGAAAAAAGGCAGAGGGCAGGATCTTGAACGTGGGTGTTTCGCAGAGAGCAGGGAGGAGCTGGAGCTGAGGAGAGCTGCAGGGCTAAGAGGAATGAGGCTGGGAAGCAGTTGGCCGACATGACCCTGAGGACACCACCGGTGACTGTTACTGATACAATCGTTTTCACGAAATGGTAACAACAGGACTGCCAGAGCCAAAATCATCAGGCAAAGAGAATAGATAACCTTGGAGAGGTTAGGTGGTGAAGGGAGGACAAGAAGAAACTTATTTTCTGGCTAAAAAGGAAAGGCAGCAAAGGAAAACAGAATGTGTGGGTAATGGGGAGGGAAAGATGAGAGAGATGGCCACCAAAGGAGCCCAAAGACAAGGGGAATAACGGGGAAGAAGAGTTCCTGACGGGGTGAATTGTGTCTCCCTGAAAAAAGCAGGTGGATTCTATCTAACCCTGGGGTCCTCTGAATGTGGCAGTTGAAAACAGGAGCCTTGCAAATGTACCTCATTAGGTTAGGATGAGGTCCTACTGGAGGGGGGCCAGGGCCCTGGGCCAATACGCCTGGTGGCCGGGTAAGAACACAGCCACGCAACCAGAGAGACACACGGGGAGCGCTGTGTGCAGAGGGGCACGGGGCGGTGCATCTGCTAGCCAAGGATGCCAAGATCCCTGGCAAACCACCGGAAGCCAGGGAGAGGCAAGGAAGGATTCCCCTGCAGCCTTCAAAGGGAGCACGGTCCTGTGGGCACCTTGATTTCAGACCTCCAGGTTCCAGGACGGTCAGGCAATACATTTCTGTTGTGCTGACCCACCCAGCGTGTCCTACTTTGTTACAGTAGGCCCTAGGAAACCAATACAGCTCGGTTCAGAATGTGGGCAGGGACAATTCTTCAGAGTGAGGGGGGGAAAGAAGGCAGGTGAAAAGGCCATCCTTTTATTCCTATGCTGCATTTGAAATGACGGCTCATTTCAGGCTCAGCCCTGCTGGTGAGGGTGAAAGTGAGGGTAAGCTCTAAACAGGAAAAGGTTCTGCAGACCAAATCCAAATTTGGCCCAACTTTGTCTGCAGGAGCCCAAAGTAGAGCAGACCTGAGAACACAATTAGGACAAAGATAACAGAGCAGGTAGAAGGTGGGGCCTTTCTGCATCACTGAGACTGAACCAGAAGGGAAAAAACAAATGGCTGCCTGTTTTCTTTTCCCATAATAACTGCCATATACATGAGAGAACAGTAGTCCACAAGTTCCATTTTCTTTTACTTTAGGTAGTCTGAGTACCAAATAAATATAAAACAATTTTACCTCAAAAAAAAAAACAAGTGTAGTGACAGCAAATACTTAAAAACTCAGGACACACATGCCTTACCGTGGGCCCTGCCGAGTAACAGCTCAGGTGCCAGGTAGTCTGGGGTCCCTAGGATTCGCCCATCATCTACTGGGGCTGCCCCTCTTCTCACACTCTTCGGGGTTCGGAATGGAGTTCCTAACTTGATTTGATTTGGGGTCTTCTAATTCAAAAGGAGTTTAAGAGGAAATAAACATCTTAAGGCCTTTTATAGTGAACAGAAATGATAAAACCAAAGAAAAGCTAGGTTCCTGGGCCTTAAAGATATATTCAATCCATGACCAGTTTTGAAAATAGAGTCATAACTAATTATAATGAAGGAAAGTCCTGATATCTAATGAAATCAATAGCTTAGATAATACCAATTATTTCAGTAAGATCTGGATATGCAAGAAACAATGAAAAAAACCCACAAGAAAAATTTCTTGATAGCATGGATTAATACAAGCTTAAGGACGTCACCAAGGGAGGCTGTGGATGACAAATAATTACATTCTTATTACAACACATAAAACAGAACTACATATAAATAACTTCTTATGCTAACTGGCATTTAAAGTTTAAACATATTTTGCCTCACAGGGCTCTGTAAGACCAGTAGGACCGACACCGTTCTCTCTACAGACAGATGGGAAACTGGCTATGAAGGAGAGGGGTTTCTAAGTCGCTCACGAGGCTCTGCATAGAAAACCCAAGTCTTGTAACCCTATTTATTATACTTTCTATATTATAATGTCTCTCCAAAGGAAGAAAAAAAGGAAACTTTGGATTTATTAAAACAAAGGCTTAGAAAATAAAAACAAAATAACATTTGAAATACACCTACTTCAACTCTTTTCTACAAAGACAAGAGACAATTTAAGTATGTCCTTAGAGGGCAGTGAAGTGGAGTGGACTTTAACTTTGTATCTCACAGAGTCACTGCGATCAAGTGAAAATATACGACTGTAATTATGAAAACATGTGACTGAAAGTATGTCAAAGTATACAGAGCAACACAAATGAAGGAGGCATTGTGGTTAGGAATAAACATTACTGCCAGCTTTGCTTTCCTGCACTAAGATTTCCAACTATCCATAAATGCCCAGCAAGCAGAAATACACGATTAATATCATATAATCTAGCTGAGAGGCAAGTGCCTGGCCTTAACAGTTTATTTTTCTGAACCCTAAAATACAGAGTGTTAGAAAGTTGTAACATACCTGATGTGGCATATAGCATCTTCCTTTTTGGATAGGGCTTACTGCCATGGGATAGGGGCCACTATAAGCACACGAAAGAGTCATTGCATGTGAAGAAGAAATACTCATTTTGGATGGTTCTGAGTTACTGGATGCATGAGTGTGACTGTTAAAACTTTGGAAAGCTACAGCATTTCTTTTAGAGAAGGTTCGTATTTTCAACCTCTCTGAAGAAGGAGCTAACATATCTTGGTTACTGTCTTGGGCAGCAGGATTCTCATCACCTTCTTGCAAGGGACTTTCCTGGCATCTGGGTGATACGGTGAGTAGGTCTTCAATATTTGCTTCTTCAAATGAGGATTCTTTGATGCTTTTATCTGGATCTAAGGACTGCCTTTCTAATGGACTTCCCATTATAGAAATTCCAGGAAAAGATGAATCCGAGTCCATAGAAATATTTTTAGGAGCTCTATCATCATCAGAACATAGAAAACTAGAATTTGAGTAGCCCTTCTTCTTATGCTCGTCGCAGTCTTCATCCAGCTCACACATGAGGTTTTTGGCTATCATCGGGATAGGTGATTTTTCTGGTGTCTGTTGTTTATCAGTAAAAGAATGAACCATTTTCTTATTAACACCGTCGTTTTGCTGACCTGTATATACCGATAGCTTAAGGTCCTGGACGTCAGTTGTTAAGCCTGTACTTTGATTTGCACAACAACCTCTCATTTCATTACTATGCTTATGCTCTGTACAATTTTTTTTATTCTGTATAATTTCCTGACAAGAACTGGAGTCAACTAACTCAAAATTTCTTTTCAAGCTTCTTTTCACAAGGTGTTCCTCAGTCATGCCACCAGAATCCACACCCCTCTGATGTGACTGGTGCAAACCAGACTGCCTTGTGTCAGTGTCCATCTTAATATTTAGATGCAGTTCTCTTGCTTCCCAAGAAACCTCCCCAGAGAAGCATTTTTTGGCCAAGTGTACAAAAGCACTCCCAGAGGAGGGAACGGCGCTGCTGTTGTGGATGGCAGAAAGCCCTAACCCAAGATCCTTCCTGTTGAAACTTTGGCTCTGGGTGGCATTTGTAGAATGTGGACATGAAGGCTTTTCAGTTGTATTCCAGCTCATCATTGTGGAGCCCAGTGTATTGTCACTTTCCTAAGGTGAGAAAAAACTTTTTAGTTATGTGAAGCTGAGATTCTTTTTTGTTTTTTGCCTTAAAAAAAAATTGAAGTGTAGTTGATAAACAACAGTCTATTGGTTTCAAGTATACAACATAGCGACTTGACAGTTATCTACATTATTTAAAAAGAAAAATGCTCACTCCAGCTAGTATAGTTACTGTCTATCAACAGAAAGATATATATGCTGTACTTACATTCCTATGAATAATTTATATTATGATTGAGGTTTTGTGCCTTTCTATCCCCTTCACCTATGTCACCCTAAAGTTGAGATTCTTTAACCTTTAAAACCTCTGTTGACTTAGGTGGGGATAATCATAAAATATTATGCAACCCATTCCCACTTTTCAGTGGAAGAAAACAATGGTAACAGAATTAAACAGCAATACAAACTAGTATACATTTATGTATATTATTTTGAGTGAAACACTGGTTTAAAATTCAAATCAACTCTTTTATAATATATACTTCATAATGCATTACATGTCATTTAAATAGACCAAAATAACAGGCAACATATTCCAGCAAAATTGGGGATAAGGCAGTATTATGTATGTATTTGCTCTGCAAGGCAGGTATGGATGATTATTCTGAAATGCAAAATGCATCGGGCTTAAAATATAGTTAATGGAAAATTACAGACCAAAAATATTTTAATGTAAACATGTGTCACTTTCTACAAGTGTAAGAAAAACCAAGCTGATGGGATGAAGCTAAACAAATGGTAATTTATAATGAAAAAACCAAAAAAAAAAAACCCAAAAGAAAAACAAACCAGGAGTTAAAATCCATGGTCAATAAGACGAATTGACGATGCACTGATAAGAAAATACTTTTCCTAAAAAACTTGAATTCCAACCATCTGCAGGGGCTTGTGTGACCAGAGTTTTTGTACCTAATTTTGCAAACTGGTGCATGGTCATAAGGATTTTTACAAGATTACTCAATTAGAGCGTCTTCAGTAAACTCTAATAGTCCCTATTTTTGGTATGTGAAAATTACACTTTACTTAGTAATAATAATAATGAGTACTTAGCCATGAAGCAAATGAAAATTCCTGAATTACAACTCACTGAAGTGCAAGCAGTACTATAATCCAATCATTGCTTTCCTCAGGTGCAGAGGTGGGAGGAAGAAGGTGAAGCTGTGGATAGTTTGAAATATTATACAATATGCTTTATATTATACAATATGCTTCCTTGAATAGAGAAGAAGTGAAATAATAGTAGTAGGAATGGAAATCTGGTTGGTTTATCCCATGACATATCTCACCTACAGACCAGCCTTTAAGGAGAGAAAGAAAAAAGTCCAAGAAATCCTGACTTAAATAAAAAATAATTTGACCTTCTCCTAAAATACAAATACCCAACAATAATGCATAAACTCATATTATTAAGAATAAGGAGAAAATAGAACCCAAATGACTTTATCAAAGGGAATGTTTATTCTTTGTGTTACCATTATTGTAGTCTAACATTACCAGGATTTTATGAAGGAATCTATAAAAATTTTAAATTATAGTTCCTCTCAGCTTTAGTATTTATTCGCCTTAATAGCATAAAAAAGTGAAAAACAGAGTCTATAAATGGAGTAAAATGAAGTAAATCCGTTCAGCAAGCAATCTCCTTAGGACAGATACTTTTAAAGACCCACCTACATTACATCTGTGGTCTACAAGTTATTTCTGACCCAGGAGAGTTACCATTCCAGTAAATGAGACACTGGTGGAAAACAGTGTAGGAGCAAGTATAAGTTCTGAAATAAGATACAGGTTAAAAAAAGCTCATAAGCTAATGTCTGTGTCATGGTAGGGAATTAAAAAGATATCTATCTAAATGCCTAGAAGCCAAACATTGCTATTGATTTACTGCAAAAATTAAAAAATTTGGATCTCATTATATATCACGCAAGAATAAGTTCATATCCCAATGAGAAATATTTCAAAAGAATTTGACAGAATATACAGGAAAATGAAGATCACCTTGACTGCCATTATGTAACACTTACATTTCCTTACAGAATTTATACAAAAACATAAAGTGTTTCTATCATTCCTTTGACATGCGTAACTGGTTTTGGGATGATACACCTCACTCTGACCTGGTGGTCCTTTTCCCATCTGGGACTGCTGTGGCATTCAGATTCCACACTGGATGCGAAGGTGTGGGACTGACTACTGGCACTTGATGTGGCCAGCCTTTTCCTAGACTGGAGGAGATTCGAAGTTAGACACTTCACAGGCATCCTGGGGTTGCATGCAACTGCTTCAAGACCTGTAGGGAAGAGAAAATACTGAAGCTTATGTTAATTCTTAATAATTAAGCTTCTTAATTCTTCACTGAACCTGAGTCTATAGATAACTAGGAAAGTATTAAGTATGCATATCAGAAGTATTTCTATGTGAACATTATCCAACCAACAAGGATGGCTTTAGGTGTTTTGGGCATATAAGTTCTGTCCTAATGTTACCAAAAAAAAAAAAAAAAAGGAATTCTCCATATTCATAAAGTAGAAATCAGGACAAGGGAACAAATTAATAATTAGGAGGAAATCCATTTTGAATATTCATTATCCAACTTAAAACTTCTTGATAAAGGAAATCATCTCACTCATTTGTGAGGAACAAAGGAAAACTGAAGGAACAAAACAGCAGCAGACTCAGACCCCAAGAAGGGACTAGCAGTTACCAAAGGAAAAGGGGTGGTGGGAGAGAGGGAGAAGGGGATTAAGGGGTATTATGATCAACTCTGGAACTTTATAATTAGACATAATATGCAATCATGCTTTTACTGAAGATCATATTATGTGCATGTAAAGATTTCATACATACATAAAAAGATATGTATATCGTTTTTCTTTCCCACAAAGTGTGAACATAACTTTAATCCCAAGTAAGTTCTCTGTCTTAGTTATCATTTAATTTATATAATTTAAAAAGTTTTAAAAATGTTTTAATTTAATAAATCTTGGAACTTTAACACTGAAAGAAGAATGTCAAAATCCATCTAAAACAACTGTGTTTTTGGCACATAAATCCTCTCAGTGGAATTCCTGAAACTAGCAGGACACTGACCCTGATATTTAACTAAACAGCTCAGGTGGTTTTTCCTAGTAATACGGGAACTTGTTTCTAAGTTAATGCCATGTGCATACTGTGTATTCGCTAGTAAGGTTTTTTGGGATCACTGGTCTAACTGGACCATCCCACTACTTTGGGACTTTGATGGCTCTCCTTTTCTACAGCTTACATTCTATGCTCCCCGTGACAACACCTGATCTTTCCCCAGCTACCCGCTAAGCTCCCTTTTCCATTGCTCCTGCTACCACTTCTCACATAACACATCAAGTCTCTGTTGTCTAAAGATGGAATATAATTCCATCTGTCCATGCCTTTCTCATGCCTCTATCTGAAATGCCCTTTTGCAATATGCTTAGAGCTATTAAGCTCTGTATTTCTTTTCCTAGGTCCAGTGTGGCTATTGCTCTGTCTTAATTTAGAGCCATTCCTGATTTTTCCAGTTAGCATTTATTACTTTCTGTGCTGTATCACAGTATGCCTCTTGCTGCATTTATTTTACAAGACTGTGACTGTTGTCCCTTTTACGTGTAATCACAAAATTACATGTTCTTCTGAGGCGAGGACCTCTCATTCACCTTCATAGCCACTCAAGGGAGCA